CTATTAGACTTCTGACTGGTGCTACTAAATGAACAATGCTATGATTAATGCAATAATAAATTTCAAGTTCATAAGAGGTTGCTACAAACATCTCTACTCACTTGGTGAATAGGCTGGTATACAATGCCCTATGTGGTATTACTTAGTGTTGCAACATTAGGCCTAATAAAAGGCTTATTTAGAATAATCATGTCTAAATAAGTAGTATAGTCTGAGTTGGTAATGTGAATAAAAGAACAGTAGAGGGCTACTCAATGTCTAACAGCACCTGCTCTGGTAGGGGACATGGGGCTAAGTTCCCAGCACCCACATGGCAGCCCACAATCATTTGTTACTCTATTTCCAGGAGATCTGATGCCTTCTTCTGACCTCTGCAAATACCAGGAACACATGTGGCACACATACATACATACAGGGAAAACTCTCAAATACATAAAATCATTTAAAAAAATTCTCTTTGAGGGGCTAGAGAGATAGCCTAGTGGTTAAAAGAACTTGTTGCTATTGGAGAAGACCAGAGACCAAATCCTAATACTTACGTCAGCTCACAATCAGCTGAAGGGGGATCTGAATTCTCTGGTCTCCAAAGGCATATGTTATCTGTCACACACACACACACACACACACACACACACACACACACACACACACTGAAAGAGATTAAAAATTTAAAAAAAAAAAAACTTAGAAAAAATCTCTTTCAACTGGTCATGTGGTTTCATATCTGCCATTCTAGCACAAAGGAACTAAGGCAGAGTGTATCACTAATTCTAATTGGTTTTAATACTAAAAACCCAGAGTCAGACACAGAGGGTAAAAGCTGAAAGATCAGAGACATGGAGGAGCAAGCCAGAGCCACCTTTTATGTAAAAGTTCTTGCCTAGTATTTCCTTAAATCAACTGCCTATGGATAACTTTTATAACTTATTTATAAAAATAAAAGAACTCTTTTATTTTTAACGTTTAAATCTGTAAAAACTTGAATATTATGCAGACACTGGCAAATGCAAAACACAATGCATTTTCCAATTAGAAATGAGATTGCCTTTCCCCATTTTGATTTTTTTAAAATAGGGTCTTCTGTTTCTGAGTGAATGCTAAACTCATGGCCTACCTTCTTCAGTACCAAGATCTCAGGGGTGACCAAACCCCATGTTTAATACTTCTGGTAGTTTCTTCAACTGTCCTATGGTGCTTGCTGAATCATTAATAAATTTTGGATAAAAATGCAAACTCCTTGATGATGCTTCTTTTCTTTGGGCTATTTCTTTATTTGTTCACTAAGTTCTATTTTGTACAAATGCTAGTCTAAATGGTCAGTAGACAGGAAAAGACATTATTTCACAGAAGAGAAAGTGTCCTTAGAAGACATGTAGTGTGGTTATTTAAACAAGAATGACTCCTATAGGTTCATATATTTGAATTCTTGGTCCCCACTTGGTGGAACTGTTTGGGAAGGCTTAGGAAATATGGGCTTGTTGGAGATGTGTCATGGGGCATGGGCTTTGAGGTTTCAAAATCCCCATCATCTGTTTCTCTGCTTCCTACTTTTGAATAAGGACGTAAGTTATCAACAATCTCAACACCATGCCTACCTGCCTGATGTCATGCATAATGGTCACAGACTGTATACTCCTCTGCAACTGTCAACCCCAAATTAAACATTTCCTTTTATAAGTTGCTTGGTCATGGTATTTAATCATAACAACAGAAAAGTAACTAAGACATGTGGCAATGTACAAGTAAAAAGATGAATGGTTAATGGGGCTGAAGAGTTATCTCAGCAGTTAATGAACACTGGATTCAATCACTAGCACCTACATGATGGCTCACTAATTGTAACTGTTTCAAATAATTTATTGCCTCCTTCTGGCCTTCAAAGGTGCCAGGCAAGTATGTGATACATATACATGCAGGCAATACATCCAAACATGTATAATAAAATTTTTAAAGTACATGGTTAATCATTCCAGAAAAGGAGCATGTTTGGGCACAAAAGAAACAGCAGAGTTAGGGTTAGGGTTGAAGTTAGATTTGGTGGCCAAAGGCTGTTGCATTTTTCCCAAATAGGTGGAATTGCTTGAGCTCTATTTTAAAAACCCTGGTGTTTACTAGAGTGGAAGACAATTTTTTAATGATTTCTTCTTATTTTATGTGCATTGTTTTGCATTTCAAGTATATTCATGTGAGAGTGTCAGATCACTAGAACTGGACTTACAGACAGTTGTGAATTGCCATGTGGGTGCTAGGAACTGAATCCATGTCCTCTGGAAGAGCACCTAGTGCTCTTAACTGCTGAGTCACCTTTCCATTGTGTGGGAGAAAACTTTGATTTTTTTTAAGGAGGTAAAAGTCGTTCAAAGATAGGTCCAACATAAGCAAGTCTTGAATTTTTACATAAATAGTTTTGTTGGGGATTCTGATAGTACATACCTCTGTTGTGTGGCAATTAAGGAGTTTTGTATTTTAAGATACATTCTTTGTGTCCCATGTCATAGAATGATGAAGGGTGCTTATGAGAATAGACTATTCCATGTAGCTGAGAGCCTTAATACAAATGGAGACCTAGATTCAAAGCTCAATATTTGAGAAGACTGAACATTCAACTGACAAAGGAAGAGATGTAGGAAACATATCTTTGTATTCATTTGTATTCAGTCAGAGAGTGTTGGAATTAGTAAGATTACAAATTTGCTTTATTTGTAAGATTTTGCTATATATATGCACCATATGCACACCCGATATCCACAGACACCAGAAGAGATCATCAGGTCATCTGAAAATGGAGGTATACAAAGTTGTCAGCCATCGTGTGTGTCCCAGGAATCAAACCTGGGTCCTCTGGATGAACAGCCACTGCTGTTAAACCAGGGAGCCATCTCTCCAGCACCCAATCTGGTTTATTTGAAAAACTCCTAGTTAATCACCACCAGGCATTAAGGAGGGAAAATCCAGCAGTCATCCAGAAGGACTGAAGAGCATTTGAAGTATCATGGACCTTTTAGGAAAGTGGTAAGGATATTGGTTGTATAGTCAGGGACAGGAGTAGCAAGATAATAAAAGTCATACTGATTAAATGTGGCACTGTAGGCAATAGTAGAGAGGCTGCCTTTGATGCCCTTCCCATATAATGAGATTGATGACTACCTTAATTGCCATCCTAGAGCCTTCAGAAGCAGGCACCCAAAGCTAAGCACTGAGCCATACTCCTGAAAACCAGCTGTAGAGAGGGAGGAGGGATGAGCAAAGCAGTCAAGATTGTGCTGGAGAAACCCACAAAACAGATGACCTGACCTAGTGAGTGCAGAGGGACCCCAGTTGTAAAGCTGGGGAATCAGCATTGAACCAAACCAAGCTCTCTGAATGTGGATGCCAGTTAGGAGGCCTGAGCAGTCTATGGGACCTCTAACAGTGGAACCAGGATTTATCCCTAGTGCACAAATGGACTCTGAGAGCCCATTGCCTATGGAGGCATACTATTTCAGCCCATATACAAGGAGGGTGGTCTAGGCCCTTCCCCAAATGATGTGACAGACTTTAATGATCCCCCAAGGAAGGCCTCACTGTCCTTGGGGAGTTAATGGGGGGTGGGTTGAGGGTTTGGTATGGGGCATGGGAAGATGGGAGGGAGAGGGAATTGGGGGATTGATATGTAAAATGATTGTTTCTAAATAAAAAAAAAATGTGACACTGTAGTTTAATTTTAAGAAGGCAGGTAATGATTGTAACAACAATAATGAGGATGAGAAGAAACCCAAAGTTCTGTATAGGAACCCAGCCTTGTTTTCACTGACTGCAGCTATGGAGTGGGTAATTAACTCAGTAAATATGAACCCTAGTCCAGGAACAGTCTTAGGTCTTCTGGAGAAGAGGCCCATGTGGATTCCTGAAATAGGATCCATTATATAGGATATCAAGAGAATAGGGGAAAAGGAATATGCAAAAGTTATTACAGAACCTAAAATGGAAGAAAACATTCTTGGGTCTTGTTAGAGAAAGCAGAGATCTCTAACAGGCTCACTGGAGCAGGATACTTGAGCTTTAGAGTTTGGCAGGTAACTCCATGATAACATACCCTGTAGATTGGGCATGTGATCAGGACTTAATGTTAAAACAGTTTCCAGTGGTCACTTCATACTGTGAGCAAGTTTTAAGACAGACCCAAACCACTGGGTTAATGTGAAGGGTGATCCTTATTTATCCTAGAATTCAGTGATGGCCTTGATATTCTGTCCCAGTGATGTGACCTACCGAGAAAAAATATTCCGGGAGAAGAAAGTCATCATCTTCAGTTACATATACACTGCCATTATTTTGACTTCTTCCCAGGGACACCTATTACAATAGTGTTCCCAAGTATTCATGTTTCTGAGCTATACTTTAGTTGGGAATGGGTAATCATAAAAACAACAAAAACAACTTACTTGATTGGGTTCAGAATTTTTTTAAGAAACAGTCTCATCTAGATCATGCTGGCATGGACCTCATTCTATACTGGAGGGTGATATTAAAACTTTGATCTTATTGTTTCCACCACCTAATTGTTTAGATTACCACGTTCTATTTTTCTCAGCCCATTTCTTGTACATTCTCTTGTGAGACAGCATCTCAATCTTTCATGTTGGCCTGTACTCACCCTGTAGTCCAAACTGACTTTCAACTTTTGAACCTACTGGCTTGGCCAACAGAGTAGCTAAGAATACAGACTTTCTTCACACTACTTCTCCTGTGTCTCTTAATGAGGACAGTATGACTTGATTAAGGGTTCATTTCTAAAATCCAGGATGACATCATTCACATCCTGGTCATTAGCTTAATTACATCTGCAAAACTGCTTATTCCTAATTTAGAGGTTCAAAGGATGTTGCCCTCAAACCTTCTCTCTCTCTCTCTCTCTCTCTCTCTCTCTCTCTCTCACACACACACACACAGTGGAGTATGGACTCATATACATATTACATTACAATACATATATGTAATAAAAGATTCTTATCAGCATCTAATATTTCCAATTTTATTTTTTGTGAAAAATCATATATAACTTGAATTGCATTGTGTCCTCTACTTAGTTATTTAAAGTATACTTTGCTAAACACAAAACTCTGTATCTCATTTTTACTTTTCCAACTTTACTTAAGAGTTATTTCATTGATATTGTGCCTCTCATTTTTATGATGTTATCTACTGTGCATATTTTATTCTGATTAAAATGTGTTATTTATTCCTAAAAACTTTACATATTTTGTTTATCTTCTTTGAAATATTGAGTAATTTAACAATTTGGGGATATAGTCACTATGTGCTGTGTAGCTACTTGGAATGTCTGCTTAATGTTTATGTTCTGAGTATTTGAATCTTCAAGTTGTGGCACTACTTGGGGAAGTATTTTAAAATTTAGAATGTATAGCATAGTTGGTCAAGGTCACAAAGACATGACTTTGAAGAACAAATCTGGTACCTTCCACGTTTCCTATCTTTAAATCTGTCTATATTCTTTGTGTGTGCTGAGGATTACAGTTACAAAGTATACTTGCAGAGGCATATGCCCTATTACTAAGGTATACTCTGACCTTCAGTTGCTCTATTTTTAGAAAAACTTCACATATTCTATGTGGTTATGCTGAAGCCCTCATTTGAAGTCTAATGTTCAAAAAGCACAGATACTTATGTATGTATGGCCTTTATTTATTTTTGTATGTATGGCCTTTAATAAGTTAGTTTTAACACAAAGTCCCAGTGATAACCAAAAATCCATTAAATGTTGCCCAGGGACCTATAACTCAGGATACAGCACTTGCCTACAATGCCTGAGTCTGTGGTTTTGATCCAAAGCACTATAATAACGAACAAAAACAAAAGAAATAAATAAATAAAAAGTTGCCTAATGGATATTGGCAAGGAACATTATTATTATGTTTCTTTATTGGGTTATAGTTGAACATTTTAATTTTCAATAGACATTTAAGCAAAATTCCATTTGAAAATTAACATGATAATGACATATACTGATGGTTTTTTGGGGTTTTTTTTTTTAAAGATTTTATTTATTATGTATACAATCTTCTGCCCACATGCCAGCAGAGGGCACCAGATCTCATTCAAGGTGGTTGTGAGCCACCATGTGGTTGCTGGGAATTGAACTCAGGACCTCTGGAAGAATAGTCAGTGCTCTTAACCGCTGAGCCATCTCTCCAGCCCTACTGATGTTTTTTATATAATTTCCTAACATATAACAAAATTTGGTATTTTTCTACTGTGTGTACATGTTCTGTTTCCATGTGTGGGTATATAACTATGCAGATGCAGAAGCCAGAGGACACTCAAGCTACACATCAAGATTTTTGTCTCCTAACTAAACAATTACAAAAATGTGACACATTCAAAATGTTCATGTCTGATGAGACATTAATGCTTGTAGACAATTTTAACTGATTTACAAATTCCCCATGAATGATAAAATTCTAAATCGAGATAACACATGAAAACTTTTATGTGTAGACATAAAGTACAAAACTCATACTGCCACTGAGCCACAATTAAGACAAGTTAACTTTTAAACTTCAAATGTGCTCTCACTTTCATAAGTTATCTGATGGCTGGTATGGTGGGAGCATGGGTGAATGCCTGTTCTAGAATCCTTACATCTACAATATGTTGGTGAATCTTGGTCATAAATTCAGTTGGACTACTGACGTGTTTTCAAATTGGATTCCTCTGTTTAATCACCTCTATTGGGTTTCTAATTCCAGATGAATTTCAAGTTCAATTAAAAAGTTTTAACATTCTTCATATTCTTACTGTTTCAAACACATGGGTTGCAATGACATGGGGTGCTTCAAGGCTTTACTGCTTTTAACCATATGGAATGATAACTAAGTTGCTAAGGTGTCTCAATAAACCTGCAGGATGAGGCTCTAGAATTGAAAACATTACACTTTTTGCTGTACCTGGCATATCACATATGAAGTTTCTAATGTAGAGGCCTGATTTCTATTTCAAAAAGTATCTATTTTTATTAATTTCATTGGGCCCCACACCTGCATAAGTTTTCAGGTGTGAATTTATAGAGTTTAATGTTAAAAAGCTTCCCTCTGTTCTTTACATTAGGTATTACTCACCTACAATATACTCAAGTAACCTGAAGAATGACACAGTTTTTCTACATTTTTTAACTTCATAGGAGACATTCACATGTATGGCTTCTCTTACAGAGAGCACTGTGGTAGCATGCCTTCCAACAATCTTTAATCACGTCTCTTTGTGGTATGTGTTCATTGGTAGAATAACAGTTAAGTTTCCATAGTTTGTACATTAATCAGATTCTCACCTGATTATATACTTTATAAGCTTTCTGATTATATACTTTAGTAAGATTTCATGGATTCTTTCCACTCTTAGGCTTTCTCATCTGACTTTGAGTGAGGTGTAACATGAGGAAGAAAAATTTCTGCATTGGGTGCAGTTACAGGGTTTCTCCTTTGAGTTCTTTCATACACAGAGAAGCTGTATTTGCTGTGAAATGTCCTGCATTATTTGCATTTAGTGATTTCTCATGTTTATGAGTTCTTTCATGTCGAGTGAGTTGCTTCTTGAAGTAGTATGCTTTCCTACACCGTTCACATGTATAAGGTTTCTCACCTGTATGAATTCTCTGATGTTGAGTGAGGTGTGACAGCCACGAAAAAGCTTTCCCACATACTGCACAATGAAATGACTTCTCACTTGCATGAGTTTTCTGATGGAGAGAAAGATACTTCTTGCAATGGAATGTTTTCTTGCATTCTGTGCATTGATATGGCTTCTCGCCTGTATGAACTCGATGATGCTCAATGAGCAAATACTTGTTATAGAATGCTTTTCCACACTCTTTACATTCATAGGGCTTCTCGCCTGTATGAGTTTTCTGATGTGCCGTAAGCCCAGACTTGCTGTAGAAGGCTTTTCCACATTGCTTGCATGCATAGGGCTTCTCATCAGTATGAGTTTTCTGATGCACAGTAAGCTGTGTCTGAGAGTAGAATGCCTTCCTACATTCTGTGCACTGATAGAGCTTGTCACTCACATGAGTTCTCTGATGCACAGTCAGGTGGGACTTGCAGTAAAATGCTTTTCCACATTGCTTACATTCATAAGGCTTCTCACCAGTATGAATTTTCTGATGTAAAGTCAGGTTAGACCTCCAGTAGAATGCTTTTCCACATTGTTTACATTCAAAGCGCCTCTCAGCAGTATGTGTTTTCAGATGATGAGTAAGTTGTTTCTTAAAGTAGAAAGCTTTGGGGCATTGTGTGCATCCATACGGCTTCTTATCTGTATGAGTCCTCTGATGCCGAGTGAGGCATGCACTGAAAGAGAAGGCTTTCCCACACTCTGTGCACTCATAAGGTTTCTCACTTACATGAATCCTCTGGTGTAGAGAAAGATGTGTGTTACAGTAGAAAGACTTTCCGCATTTAACACATTCATAGGGCTTCTCCCCTGTATGACTTCTCTGGTGTCGAGTGAGTTGTGACTTATAGTAAAAAACTTTGCTACATTCTGTACATTCATGGGGCTTCTCCCCTGTATGACTTCTCTGATGTACAGTGAGATGTGACTTATAGCTGAAAGATTTTCCACATTCTATACACCCATAAGGTTTCTCACCTGTATGACTTCTCTGATGCTCAGTGATTTGTGACTTGTAGTAGAAATATTTCCCACATTCCAGACATTTGTAGGGCTTCTCCTCTGTAGGAGTGATCTGATGCTGAGAATTGATGTGGGAAGCTTTCCCACATCCTGAACTTTCATGTGGCTTCCCACCTATACAACTTCTCTGATGCTCAGTGAAGTGTGACTTCCAAGAGAATGTATTTGTGCACTGTCTATGTGCACAGGATGTCTCCTCTTTAAGACTCTGACAGTTGTTGAGGAGTGATTTAAAATTGAAACGGTTCTTACATGTCCTGTGATGCCCTGTGTCCTGTGACTTCTTGCAAAACATCTTCAAGCATCCTTTCCCTTCATAAGATGTTGTCCCTTGGTGGAATTTCTGTGCCACATTCAGTTCTGCCTTAAGACAGAGAGAGGAATTACTTATATTTCATATAGCCACAGAGCCTTTTCCTACAATGTGCTTTCTCATATTAGTTTGGAATCTTTCCTGTGTTACGGAGATAAATGTCATATATAAAGATGTCTAATATTTACTCAGTTTACCAGAGATCTCTTTAATATGAAAATTCATATATAAATAATATTGTCTCAAACAATATCACTGGTCAAATATATTGCCAACAGGACTGTCAATTTTGACTGAGATTATAGCAATTTAAGTTGATCAGGATGTAAGAGTAATTTTTCCATTATCATTAAAATTATGTTCTTCTCTAGCTGGCAACAATCACCCAAAAGAGAAAGACACTCAGTGGTGAGTTCCTTTGTAAGTGTATAGGAGGTAATAAATAATGTGTACACAAGTTTACTTGTGTCTATGTATCAGAAGTTGCTCTTCAGTGTCTTCATAAATCACTATTTTTAGTTTTGTTTGGAAAAGGTCTCTCACTGGACCCAAAGCTTACCATTTTGGAGGGAATCACAGGCCAGCAAACCCCAGTGACTCTAATGTCTCCATCTTCACAGCACTAGTTAGAAATACATATCACCACAGCTGTCTTCATTTATGGCTGCTAAGGATCCAAACTCAAGTTCTTGTTTTCTACATCAAGCATTTTACTGACTAAACAATCTCCCCAAGCCTGAGTTCATTTCTTTCATTTTTCAAATTACATTTGCATGCATGCATATGCATGCCATGGCACACATGTGGAGGTCAAAGGACAAATTTGGGGGGTTTTCTTTTCCATGCACCACATGGGACATGGGGATCAAATTCAGGTGGTTAGGCCTGGTGGCAAGTCCCTTTACAAGCCAAGCCATCTTGCTGACCTGGGTTCAATCTTTATGTTTACATTTGAAATATGTTAAAAGCTCATGTTAGATATTTTACTTACTTCAACAATTTCTTCATTTGATGTCTGGCTGTTGGTGATTTCAACTGGCCACAAAAATCCATTGTGATATTCCTGGTGATTCTCAATTGGGGTGGTCATTTTATGAACACCTAAAATGACATTAAATATATCCTTATCCATGAATAACTCTGAAAAATTCTTCATGTCTCTTTCTTCTTATCCTTATAGAAACTATAAAATAATATTGACCCTCCACCCTCCAATATAGAGGTGAGTGTGAGTACCAGAGGCTCTTTGAGCCCAACTTTCCCTCTTCCAGTCCTCTGACCTGCAGCTGCCAGACCCTTCCCACCATCGAATGACTCAGAGGGACCTGGAGGCAGAACAAAGCAGCCAGCATCATTGGCTGCCATTCCGGTCTTGCCCCTCAACCCTCCAGTAGAGAGGAAAAAGAGAGACCCGACCTATATCCACTGGAAGAAGAGATGGGAAGACAAAAGTATAAGAACATATCCAACAACAGAAAGACTTTTATGACACCACCAGAGTCTATGGACTCTATACCAGCAAGACCTGAACATCCCAATACAGATGAAGCAGAAGAAAACGACCTTAAAAACAACTTCATGAAAATGATAGAGGCCCTCAAAGAGAGTATGAGATAATCCCTTAAGAAATGGAAGAAAAGACAAACCAAAAAATGCAAGAAATCAACAAATCTCTTAAAGAAAGCAAGGAAAGCCAGGAATACAAAAAATCAAACAGATGAAGGAACAATGCAAACAGTTCAAGACATGAAAACTAAAATAGAGACAATAAAGAAAACACAACTTGAGGGAATGTTGGAAATAGAAAAGCTGGGTAAACAATCAGAACTATAGATGCAAGCATAATGAACAGAATACAAGAAATGGAAGAGAGAAACTCAAGTGCTGAAGATACACTAGGAGAAAAAGATTCATCCACCAAAGAAAAAAAATGCAAGAAATCAACAAATCTCTTAAAGAAAGCAAGGAAAGCCAGGAATAAAAACAATCAAACAGATGAAGGAACAATTCAAACAGTTCAAGACATGAAAACTAAAATAGAGACAATAAAGAAAACACAACTTGAGGGAATGTTGGAAATAGAAAAGCTGGGTAAACAATCAGAACTATAGATGCAAGCATAATGAACAGAATACAAGAAATGGAAGAGAGAAACTCAAGTGCTGAAGATACACTAGGAGAAAAAGATTCATCCACCAAAGAAAATCTTAAGTCCAACAAATCCCTAATGCAAAATATCCAGGAAATATGGGCTACCATGAAAAGGCCAAACCTAAGAATAATAGGTATAGAAGAAGGTGAAGAAACCCAATAGTCACACTAGACAATTAACAGCACAACTGAAAGTTCTAGAACAAAAAGAAGCAAATTCACCCCAGAGGAGTAGATGCCAGGAAATAATCAAACTGAGGGCTGAAATCAATAAATTAGAAACAAAGAAAACAATACAAACAATCAATGTAACAAAGAGTTGATTCTTTCAGAAAATCAACAAGGTAGACAAACCTTTATCCAAACTAACCAAAAGGCAGAGAGAGAACATGAAAATTAACAAAATCAGAAATGAAAAGGGGGACATAAAAACAGACACTGAGAAAATTCAGAAAATCTTCAGGTCATACTTTGAAAACCTCTACTCCACAAAGAAAAAGAAAAAACCACATGATCATCTCACTAGATGCTGAAAAAGCCTCTGACAAAATCCAACACCCTTCATGAAAAAGGTCTTGAAAAGATCAGGGATAACAGGAACATATCTAAACATAATAAAAGCAATATACAGTAAACCAATAGCCAACATCAAACTAAATGGAGAGAAACTCAAAGCAATTCCTCTAAAATCAGGAACAACACAAGGCTGTCCACTCTCTTCATATCTCTTCAATATTGTACTTGAAGTTCTACATAGAGCAATAAAACAACAAAAGGAGACCAAGGAGATACAAATTGGAAAGGAAGAAGTCAAACTTGCACTGTTTGCAGATGATATGGTAGTTTACATAAGTGACCCAAAACTCTACCAACTCCTTCAGCAAAGGGGCAGGATACAAGATTAACTCAAAAAAAAAAAAAATCAGTAGCCCTGATGGGGAAAGTACTTCTGTGTATGTTTATCTTATTGATTGTTGAATAAAATACTGTTTGGCCAATGAGACAGCAAGTTAGACGGAACTAGGAGTCAAAGAGGATTCTGGGAGATGTAGTAGAGAAGTGGTCCAGGCAGGAAGTGACATAGCAAGGAGACTCATATTTGAGCGAGGAGAAACGGGAAGTTCCCTCTTTTTCCCCTTCCTCCTCCAGCGGCAGGATGTGATCCACCAGCAAGGAGGGACGCCAATAAGGTGTCCGATAAGATAAGTCTTGTAACATATATACATTTATGATAGTTAAGACTGAGCTAGCAGATGAGGAATCCTAGCATTCGCCAAGCAGCTTTGAACCTAATACAAGTTTCTATGTATTCATTTGGGCCTAACTTGGGTGGGCAGCTGGCATAAAGCTCACACGTGGCAGTGGGGCTCAGACGGCATTTGGCAGAAAGATTTATTGTAACATAGCCCTACTATACACAGACAATAAAAGGGCTGAGAAAGAAAGCAGAGAAACACCACCCTTTTACAATAGCCACAAACAAAATAAAATATCTTAGGGTAACGCTAACCAAATAAGTGAAAGACCTGTATAGTAAGAACTTTGAGTTTTTAAAGAAAAAAATTAAAGATATCAGAAAATGAAAAGATTACAATAGCCACAAACAAAATAAAATATCTTAGGGTAACGCTAACCAAATAAGTGAAAGACCTGTATAGTAAGAACTTTGAGTTTTTAAAGAAAAAAAGATATCAGAAAATGAAAAGAACTCCCCTGCTCTTTGGGTAGGTAGGTTCAACATAGTAAAAATGACAATCTTGCCAAAACCAATCAAGCCCCATCAAAATCCCAGCACAATTCTACACAGACCTTGAAAGAACATTACTCAAAAACAAAAAACCCAGGATAGCCAAAACAACCCTGTACAATAAAGGAACATCCGGGGGCATCACCATCCCTGACTTCAAGCTCTATTATAGAGTTATAGCCCTGAAAACAGCTTGGAATTGGTATAAAAATAGGTAGACCAATGGAATTGAGTTGAAAACACTGATATTAACCCACACACCTAAGAACACCTGATTTTTGACAAAGAATCTAAAATTATACAGTGGAAAAAAGAAAGATCTTCAACAAATGGTGCTGGTATAACTGGATGCTGGCATGTAGAAGACTGCAGATAGATCCATATCTACCACCATGGACAAAACTTAAATCCAAATGGATCAAAGACTTCAACATAAATCCAGCCACAATGTACATCTTAGAAGAGAAAGTGGGAAGTGCCCTTGAACAAATTGATACAAGAGACTGATTCCTGAACATAAGACCAGTAGCAGAGACACTGAGATTGACAATTAATAAATGGGACCTCCTGAAACTGAGAATCTTCTGTAAGGCAAAGGACACCCTCAACAAGACAAAAAGGCAGCCCCCAGAATGTGAAAAGATATTCACCAACCCCACATTTGACAGAAGGCTGATTTCCAAAATATACTAAGGACTCAAGAACACCAAATAATCCAATTAAAAAGATGGGTACAGAATTAAATAGAGAATTTGCAATAGAGTAATCTAAAATCACTGAAAGACTTAAGAAAGTGCTCAACATCATTAGCCATCAGGGAAATGCAAATCAAAACCACTCTGAGATACCATCTTACTCCTGTCAGAATGGCTAAAATCAAAAACACCAATGACAGTCTACGCTGGAGAGAATATGGAGAAAGGGGAACACTCCTCCACTGCAGATGGGAGTGCCAACTCATATAGCCACTTTGGAAATCAGTATGGCGACTCCTCAGGAAAATGGGAATCAGTCTACCACAAGATCCAGTAATTCCACTCATAGGCATATACCCAAAAGATGCACATTCATACAAGGACATGTGTTCAACGATGTTCAGAGCAGCATTATTTGTAATAGCCAGAATCTGAAAGCAACCTAAATGCCCCTCAACTGAAGAATGGATAAAGAAAATGTGGTATATTTACACAATGGATTACTACTTAGCAGAAAAAAACAAACAAAAAAAAAAAACAATGGAATCTTGAAATTCGCAGGAAAATAGATGGGATTAGAAGAAACCCTTGAGTGAGGTAACCCAGTCACAAAAAGACAAACATGTTTTGTACTCACTCATATATGGAATTTACACATAGAACAAAGGATTACCACCCTACAATTCACACTGCCAGAGAAGGTATGAAAGAAGGATGACCCTAAGAGAGACATACAAGGTCCCTCGGAGAAGGGGAAAGGGACAAGATCTCCTGAGCAAATTGAGAGCATGGCGGGGAGGAGTTAGAAGAAAGAGAAGGGGAGAAGAGGGTGGCAGAGGAGGACTAAGGGAGCAGGAAGTTTGAGTTGGGGGAAGAATAGAGGAGAGCAAGAAAAGAAATATCCTAATAGATTGAGCAATTACAGTTTTAAAGAGAATTCTGGCACTAGGGAAATGTCCAGAGGTCTATAAGGATGACACCAACTAACAATCTAAGCAACAGTGGAGAGGCTACCTTAAATGCCCTTCCCTGATAATGAGATGATGACTACCTTATATGGCATCCTAGAGAATTCATCCAGTAGCTGATGGAAGCAGAAGCAGACCCACAGCTAAACACTGAACTGAGCTCCTGGAATCCAGTTGCAGACAGAGTGATGAGCAAAGGGGCCAAGACCAGTCTGCCAAAACTCACAGAAACAGCTGACCTGAACAAGGGGGAGCTCATGGACCCAAGACTGATATCTGGGAAACCAGCATAGGACCGAACCAGACCCCCAGAATATGGGTGTCAGTTGGGAGGTCTGGGCAATCTATAGGGCCTCTAGTAGTGGATCAGTATTTATCCCTTGTATACGAATGGACTCTGGAAGCCCATTACACATAGAGGAATACTCTCTCAGCCTAGACACACAGGGGATGGCCTAGGCCCTGCTCCAAATGATATGACAGATTTTTTTTGAAGATCCCCCATGGAAGGCCTCACCTTGCCTGGGGAGCAGAAAGGGGATGGGATAGGTTGTTGGTGGGGGGCAGAGGAGGAGGGGAGAGGGAACTCAGATTGACATGTAAAACAAGCTTGTTTCTATAATTAAATGTAAAAAAAGAAAAAAGAACCAAAAAATACATTCAATTATTTACCTATATGCGAGAATGCACACATGGCACACAATATGTGCAGTGGTCAGAGGTCAAATATATAGGTGTTTGCTCTCCTTTAACCATACTGTTCTCACGGATTGAACTCAAGCCTCTTTATCCACTGAGCCATATTGGGAACTCTCAGTTTTATCACTATGTTAGAGTTTTAACTGCAGAGACTATTGATAGTATTTCTAGGTAGTTTTGATTTTTGTAAAGGCAATTTTAAATTACATTGTTTTCTTCATTTAATTCTCAACATGTTAATTTTTCATACGTAGTCCATGTTTCAATCACTAGCACTACATAAAACTAGACAATGAGACACCCCTTCCAGAAATTCAAGATGATCCTCAACTACATAGTGAAGTTGAGGTCATCCTGGGCTACATGAGATACCATTTCAAAAAAGTTACCATACTTGGCTGGTATATGTAAGGCCCTGGATCTTACTTTTAGCAGAAATAAGGAGGGAAGGAGGGAGAAAATACTGATTTGCTATGATGATTGTGTAACCTGCTACCTTTAGACCATGTTTAAGAGCCTAAATCGTCATTGAAGTATAGGGTCATGTCACCTGAAAACTGAATTATACCTATTTCTTTCCTAACTTGTATTCCTTGGTTTCTTTTTCTTGCTTTTCTGCTCACTATGAAATTAACATCTGTTTCAAAAAGACTGTGCACCCTCTATTGTCCCTTATTTTAAATGGAATGTTCTTAGTTTGGATGGATCACTCTATTCATTCCCCCCTTCCTTACTTCCTTACTTCCTTTCTTCCTTTCTTTCACTCCATTCCTTTTCCCCTTCCTTCCATCGTTCTTTCCTTCCTTCCTTCCTTCCTTCTTTATTTTTTCTTTTTGAGACTCAATCTCTCTATGTATTCCGGCCTGTAATGGTCCTATATAGACCAGACTGGCCTCAGAACTGGCAGAGATCTTCCTGACTCACCATCATGCCCAGCACATTCATACCTTAGCACTTTAACAAGTCATGAGTCCTACTGTAGCCAACACTCACTGCAAAAGCCAGCTTCCCTAACCAAAGCTGACACTGATGCTAATCTATAGACACATGCATGAATATTTAATAGGCAATCTGACAGGCACATCAAGTCCATTTAGCAAAACATGAGCAGTAGCTTCCTCACTAAGGTCTCTAACTATCCCAGTCACATATATGACAATTCAGTTACTGAATTAGATTATTATAGTGATCATGTTGTGGCAGAGTTGTCACTTTTGCTTGCTCTTTTGCTATAATGACTGAGTTTCCAGAGTGCCATCTGTGCAGGTATAAGGAAGGCTAGCTCTTTTCATTTTACATTCAGGGTCTTTTCAGTCAGCAGCCTCATCTGTAGCCTCAATCTTTATCACTTCTAACCGAAGAGGAAGCAAATTGCAGTAACAGCACCGCTACCAGAAAAGAAAAAGCAGACATAAACATAGAATAAATATAGAAACAAATTAGAGCCTGCAAGATGGCACAAGGGATAAATGAGCTTGCTGCCAGTATGATGACCTGAATTCTATCCTCAGAACCCAAATGGCAGAGGAACCAACCCCCACAAGTTGTCCTCTGGCCTCCACAATAGTGTGCCATAATGTGCACACACCTGCATACACATACACAAACACAAATACACACATACACTGAATAAACGTAAACAGATAAATGAATTAATAAATAAAAATAAAAAATGTACACCAAAGAACATGAGAGTAATGGAGTACACATTTCAGGCTAACAATTAATAAATATTATGCTGGGTATAGTAGCACACACCTTTAATCACAGCACTCTGAAACAAAGGCAGGCCGATCTCTGTAAGTTCAAGGCCAGCCTGGTCTACTTAGTGAGTTCAAGGACAGGCAAGGCTACACAGAGAAAACCTGTCTCAAAAAAAATGAAGTAATAATAATAATAATAATAATAATAATAATAATAATAACAGTAATTAGATAATTAAAAGGAAACAAGAGCAGAGAAAGCAAATTGGAAAATAGGTGTGGTAGTTTAAATAGGAATGGCTCCCACAGAGTCATGTGTTTGAATGCTTGACCCATAGGAGTGGCACTATTAGAATGTGTGGCCTTGTTGGAGTAGATGTAGCCTTGTTGGAGGAAGTGTCTCTCTGTGGATGTGAGCTTTGAGGTCTCATATGCTCAAACTATGCCCAGTGTGGCAAAGAATCTCCTTCTGTTGCCTGTAGATTAAGACATAGAACTCTCAGCTCCTTGTCCTGAACCATGTCTGCCATGTCAGCATGCTTCCTGCCATGACAACAATGGACTAAACCTGAAACTGTAAGCAGCCCCAATTAAATGTTTTCCTGTATAAGAGTTGCCATAGTCATGGTGCCTTTTCACAGCAATACAACCCAAACTAAGACAAAAAGGTTAAATAAAAAGAAAATAAAAACAAGAATTAAAAAGGAAAGGAATACATGAGAGGGGAACAGAAAAGCATATGAGATAATGAATCTGGTGACAAAATAAAAAATACAAGGTAAAATAAGCCTTTAAGGAAAAATAAAAATATAAACACAAAATAACTGAATAAAAAGGAAATAAAGTAAAAAACACAAACTATGAATTAAAAAGGTTGGAACCAATGAAATATGGTGGTTATTGGTATGTTGCTAGAGTCTGATGTAAGTCTTCTGTCTCACCTTATCAGATAGTGCCATATTTTGGCTGATTGCTATCCTCATCAAAGATTTGTGCTAGCAATAGGGCAGCATTCATTAAAAAACTTGCATGTTTGCATGTAAGGGAAACACACACCAGAAACAACCAAAACTTGCTGATGGGTTGATATGGCTAATTCTCTCCAGAAATTGCAAAAATCAAGCGTCTGGTCAGGGTTAGATAAGTTGGTGAGAAGCATTCAACATAACTAACATAACTAACTGTCCTCTTGCTGACCTCCCTTGCTCAGTATGCGTTCACCCACCTGGAAGGCTCTGAAGAGAGGCTTCCACTACACTCCATGGCCCAAATCCACGCTCCAACTTGAAGATCAACTCAGGTTTTGTCATGCAGTATCCTGAAGTGGGAGCAAATTTTGCATAAGTGTTAGGTTCAGTCCACCAACAAAAGACAACAGATCTCACCAGGGAATCAGAAACTTTCATTAGGGCATTAGAGGGTTACATTAACATTCTTCACTGACTGGAATAGCACCTTCAATCAGCATAATGGTTTCCAGAAAAAGGAAACAGGTAAATAAAAAACACATTTTTTTTTTTTAAAGATGTGATGGTTTGGAAGAAAATGGCTCCTAAAAGAAGTGGCACTATTAGGGAGTGTGGCCTTGTTGGAAGAAGTGTGTCACTGTGGGGACAGGCTTTGACATCTCTTTTGTTCGAGCTTCCTTCAGTGTGACTGTCAGTCAACTTCCTGTTGCCTGTAAGATGTAGGAGTCTCAGCTCCTCCAGCACCACGTCTCCCTGCATGCCATCGTGCTCTCTGTCGTGATAATGGACTGAACCTCTGAAACTGTAAGCAAGGACCCTCAATTAAATGTTTTCCTTTGTAAGAGTTGCCATGGCCATGGTGTCTCTTCACAGCAATAGTAACCCTAAGAAAATACTTAAAATGAATTATACCAGAGAAAATAATCATAAAAGCAACCAACCCAGGGACTGAAGAGATGGCTCAGTGTTTAAGAATACTTGATACTTGTACAGACCTGGGTTCAGGTTCCAGCACCCATATTGGGTGGCACATAACCACTTGTAACTCTAGTCCCAGCAAATCTAACACTCTTTTCTATCCTCTGCAGGTACTACATACTCGCAGCATAAATAAAAATGATTTTTAAAAAATGCTTTAAGTAAACTAAACTACTGGGTATGGTTAAGCAAATATTTAATTCTAGCATTTGCAAGGCAGAGGCAGGCAGGCAGATCAATTTGAGTTAAAGATCAATCTGGAAAACAAAAAAGCAGTCTGATTTGTAATGAGTCAGCCAGGGCCATAGAGTGCAACACTTTCTCAAAATTCAATAAATTAGATAACCCAGGCAGATTTTTAAAAATTGAAAGAACATAAAGATAATTTAAAACACATCCATCATCACTGAAAAGCAAATATTCCTTCCATGTGTATTGTACAGAAAAGACAAGGACATCAAAAATAATGAGGAAAGATAAGGCATATATCAACAAATGACTATGTCACATATGATTATACAAGAAAAATAGCAAGATGAAGAAAATTCTAAACACCGTAAGAAGAAAGCCAAATACAATAACACACACCAGAGGTACAGCCACGCATTTCAGCTGTCACCACATTCACCAGTATTACAATGACTTTAAAGCTACACATCAACACAACAACCAAACCTCAGGTACAGTAACCCCAATGAACAGAGGCACAAAAAAATCAACACAGCACTTAAGCAATTAGAAACTATGGTCATGTGTGATTCATACTAGGAATGCAGCACTCTCCATATGGAAATATGAAACCCTCATACCCATGTACTAGATAATATACAGCAGTATTTCTAGATATAGTGGCATCTGCCAATAATCCCAGAAGTCAGCAGTCAGGGCAAACTGAGCTCTGTGAGTTCCAGGGCAACCAGATTTGTATAGTGAGACCCTGTCTCAAAAAAACACTATGATCACAACAAAAGCAATCATATGTATACAATGGATGCATAAAAGGTATTTTTATCTTCAGGGGGAAAAATCTCAATAAACCATGACTATATGTAACAAACCCACAGCCCACAGCTAGGGGAGTAGAGCAAGCCTGAGATGATTTTCTCTAGGAACACAGCAAAATATGCTCTTTTACCACTCTTCTAGTTTACTAAGAAAGACATATATACCTCATAAGGAAAAGAAACAACAACATCCAAAGGGGCAAGGGGAATGGAAATGTGAGGCTCTCTATAAATGATGCTATGAAGAGAAAACATTAGACTCTAAACAGAAGAGAATGGATGCCATAACATGTGACCACACAAGAAGTCAAAAGTCAGACTTCACACCTTCTATGTGCAACAAGAACAAACTTGTTGAGAAAGTCAGAAAAATCCCCTTTAAAATGGCCACTCAGCACCAAGCATGGTAGGGCATGCATTTAATCTTGGCACTCAGAGCCAGAGGAAGCCACATTTCTACGAGTTTGAGACTGGTTCCAGACCAGTCAAGTGCAACCCTGTCTTAAAAAAATAAAAACAACAAACAAAAAACAGAAAGCAAAGAAAAATAGAAAAGGTTCAATACTGGGGCTGGAGAGATGTTTCAATGGCTAAGAGGACTTACTGCTCTTCCAGAGGATGTGGGTTCAATGCCCAGCAGCTGCGTGATTGTGCACAATCACCGTTAACTTCAGTTTTGGAGGATCTGGCACCCACTTCTGGCCTCCCAAAAGAGGACTTACTGCTCTTCCAGAGGATGTGGGTTCAATGCCCAGCAGCTTCGTGATTGTGCACAATCACCATTAACTTCAGTTTTGGAGGATCTGGCACCCACTTCTGGCCTCCCAGGGAATCAAGCTTACATGTGGTATACAGACACACATGCATACGAAATCCATAAACATTAAAAAATAGATTTTATTCAAGATGGTGTCAGCTATCAGCACCTTTGGGACCAAGGATCAGCTCAAGGAGCCTGAGAGACCCATGGAGGCTCTGAGGGAAGACTCGTAGCAGAGGACTCTGAAGAGCCCACAGCATCTCCTGACAATTACAAAAAGGAAGATCTTATGGGAAGATGCTTTTGTAAAGTGGTCTCATGAAACTGGAAACAAAAGACGAAGAAGAAGGCTGACAAAACCAGAGGTGCAGGAGTGAAGGGTATGGGAATGGTATGGGAGTATGGCCCCAGGAGACAAAGAACATGCCTTTGCTGAATACAGCTCATACTCGCCCCACTGTTGCAGTGGACTGGGGAGCACTGCCAAGCAGTGCTGGCACGTTAGTACACAGCAGCCTGGAGTTCTCACAGGCTGTGCTGGCAAACTCACTGCCCAGCCACACAACTGCCCTGACTAAGCAATGAAAGGACAATCAAGACAGGGAATGGCTCATTTTCTGGATTGGGCCACCTTGAAAGAACTCCATGGTCTGTGCTGCCAAGATTTTACATGTAATTTTCAGCATTGCTGAAAACAAATACAAACAAACAAACATTAAAAGTATTGAATCTTTAAAAGTTCTCTTCCAGATTTATTTCATTCTATACATATGACAATTTAGCAGTACTGGCCATGGAGGTCTTTCAAAGAGCCTGCTTGTTTGTATATGTACCAAGTGCATGCCTAGTGCTTACAGAGATCAGAAGAGGGCATCAGATACCCTGGAACTGGAGTTAGAGATAGTTGGAAGACACCATGTGGGTGCTGGGAACCAACTTGAATCCTTAGTGAGAGCAACAAATGTTCTTATGTGAACTGAGATCCTGAGCATGGCTTGGGCATATATGAGACATCAAAGCCTGCCTCCACAGTGACACACTTTCTCCAACAAGGCCATACCCACTCCAACAAAGCCACACCTCCTAATAGTGCCACTCCCTCTGAGCTTATGGGGGGGAGGGCAATTACATTCAAATGGCCACAGCAGTGTTTTAATATATGTGAAAAAGAACAAACAGAAGCAAAAGTCAAAAGGATTACATGAATCTCAAAATCACTTCTATAGAAAAGTAAGCAACTAATAAAAGAAATCAACCTACAGGGTGATAAACTATCGGGCAAACTATTCATTTAACAAGACATTCATTTAACACCTAAAGTGAAAGAACACAGCCAATCTGCTTAAAAGTGGGCAAATGTCCTGAATAGATACTTTTCAAACACAGATAGTCCACAAAAATATAAATAAATGCTCACCACTCCTAGTTATCATGAAAACATCAATCACAACCACAAGGAGGTGTTGCTTCTCTCATCTTAGCATGGTCACTTAACATGCACAGTAATAAATGCTGAAAGATACCATAAAATGATGATACTAATACAACCTCGTACAGCTAACATGAAACACAGTACAATGCAGCCTCAAAAAACTAAACAGAACTACAGCATGATGCTACTATTGCACTGCTGGGTGAACAGTCAGGGGAAGTAAGTACTATGCATAGAAATCTGTAGCTCCCCATGTGTTAAAATGTCATTCACAAAAGCCAAGTAAGTATCCATTGTAGGGGAAGCTGTAGCCACCCCTGCTTAGGGGCTGCCTAAAGGTGTGCCTGACCAAGCCTGTGAGGGGGTGGTCAGGGTGATGTAGAGTGAGAGTTGGTCAGGTGGCTGGTTTCTGGTTTCTGTTTCACTTACGGCTTGTTGTACAGACTGCTGCTGCACCAGCTGGCTAGGTCACTTTGTAAGTAAGGCTTTTTCCCTATTAAAATCCCTTGTATTTCTGCCTGGCTCCGTATTGGTAATTTCCCACCTTAATCCATCAATGGAGGAGAGTGAAGAACATATGGCACATAGACTAACCCAGCTTGCAGAAATGAATTCTTATAATGACATGGACACTACTGGAGGGTGTTACTGAATCTATCATGTTGCTATTTCCTCTGAGCTTAAAGCCAATCAACTGTGGGGACTTGTAGCAGACACTGGCCCATGGTCATGGCAACAGAAGACCATATAGCAGATCTCTGGGTCTAGGTTGATGATAATATAATGAGTCTCTTGAAATTCCCACATAGGGTTGTTATAAATCCAACTGACATTCCATTCAGGACTGGCTTTCAGCCAACTATGTGGCACAAGTAGTTATAAACCGAGTACGGTTGGGACTTTTTGGTGGCACAACTGACTAAATGCCCTAGTTCTCTAAGAATCCCATTAATTTCATTTATTTTCTATGCTGAAATTGATGGCATTTTTCTTTGGGTTTCTCTACTCACTTCATGGTTGTGAATAGATGTTTCTTTACTGTAGTGGAAATCTAGTAGAGTCTTTGTATCTAAGCTAAACATTAGAGTAAAATAGTTGCTTTTCACTGTATCTAGGGTAAACATCAAAATGAAGTAGTTGTTTGTTGGAGGTATTTAGACCTTGGAGAAATCATTGTAGAAAACTGTTGGGGGACATTTTATCACATTGTGAACTCCAATTCGTTGATTAAAGAAAATTAACCTTAATTTTGTATTGATTAAATAAAATTAACTGCTGTGGAATAATTCTTTTGTACACTGTAAAGATTTGTCACTCAGATTGGTTTTAAAAAAGCTGACTGGCTGGTAGCCATGCAGGAAGAATAGATGGGACAACCAAACTATGGATGCTGGAAAAAATGGTGGAGTCAGAGAAGTAACCAGCCATATGGAGAGGAAGCAAGACATGGCAGAAAGGTAAATGCCACCAGCCTCAGGACAGCGCACAGATTAATAGAAATGAGTTAAGTTGTAAGAGCTAGTTGGTGATAACCCTGAGCTACTGGCTGAACATTCATAATTAAGACTCTGAGTGGTTATTTGGGAGCAGGAGGCTGGAACAGGAAAAATTTGCCTACAATTAACCTTGGGTCAGAAGGCTGAGTTAGCAATTAGTTGACAGAAAATAATCATAGCATATCAGAGGGCATCTGGGAGAGATAGAGAGACACAGGAAGTAGTTGGGTAGAATTTGTGGTAGTGTAGGTTTATCTGGTTTGGTCAAACAGAAGCATGAGTCTTTCAGAGATGCCAGCAAGAACAGGTTAGCTTTTGTTACTGAGCTTCTCTGAGCTTGCAGGTTTTCACCCCAGGCTTTGAATCTCAAGTCTTATTTATAAACAGAATGACTAATTTAGTTAAAGCTACCTTTAGTGGCAGCAACAGAGCCAGTGCCTTCAGGAACAGAATTCCCTCCAGGCTGCAGCCTGAGTGGTCAGGCCACTGCTAGAGAATCAGGCCAGTAACTGTGGAGTTGCAATTGCTGGCTCAAATAGCAGGACATTAGGGCACAGCCACTGTGCTGAAGTTAAAACAACAGAAAATGGTGACTGTTTTTCTGAAGGAGCTTTATAGTCTTTGTATGGCTTTAGTCACAAGATGGTCCTTGACCCCAGCATGTGGTTGTTTGAATAGGTATGGCCTCCACAGACTCACGTGTTTGAATGCCAGGCCCATAGAAAGTGGCATTAGGAAGTGTGGCCTTGCTGGAGGAAATGTGTCCATTGTAGGGGTGGGCTTTGAGGTCTCCAATGTCCAAGTTACACCCAGCGTATGATACAGCCTCCTTCTGCTGCCTACAGATCAAGATGCAGAACTCTCAGCTCCTTCTCCAGCATGACGTCTGCCTACATGTCACCATACTCCCAGCTGCCATGCTCCCCACCATGATGACAATGGACTAAACCTCTGACACCATAAGCCAACTCCAATTAAATGACTGTGGTCATGATGTCTTTTCACAGCAATAAAACCCTAAGACACAGCACTTGAGAGGCAGAGACAGGTTGACCTCTGAGTTTAAGGCCAGCCTTTTCTACAGAGCAAGTTCCAGTACAGCCAGGATGACACAGGAAAAAAACCCTTCTTTTAAAAAAAAAAAAAAAAAAAAAAAAAAAAAAAAAGACAAAGTAAAAAGAAAAGGAGTCAGCAATAATTCTTATAATTATCAACCAAGAATTTAATCCATGCAGAGTTACAGGACAGACTTACCCAAGAACATGAGGCTGCTGTAGTTCTCTAGCATCACATCCCTGTAGAGTGACCTCTGAGCAGCATCAAGATCCTGCCATTCATCCCAGGTGAAGTCCAAAGAGATGTCCTCAAATGATACAGAACCCTGTAATGATACATTTCTTTTAAACCCCAAGTACTCAGCTTTGGGAACATAAAATTAGGGGTTTACTATGCTCTGTATGTGGTTTCCATTGAAGGTTTGACAGGGTGTGGAACCATGGGAGGGAACCTTAATGCCAAATTGTGTGGATTAAGTTGGCATTCTTATTTTTGTTTTGTTTATAAGTAGTGTGACTGGGGTGAAAGGACCTGTTCATTATGGCTATATTATTTCAAGGGTTGGCTTCTGAATTTTAAGAACAGGAGAGAGGGAGTTAAGCATGCAAGCATTTTGTGTTCCCTATGCTGTGACTATGGATCCAATGTGACCAGCTATCTCAAGTTCCTGCCAGTGTAAGTTCCCTGCATCAGTGGACTACGCTCATAAACTGTGATTTGAAATAAACCCTTTCTCTTCTAAGTTGCCTTTTTCAGGGTATTTTATCACAACAGGAAAGAAACTAAGTGTCTTATAGAAGGTATTGCTTGAGTTGTATCATGGAATAAAAATTAACATAAATATCTTACCTGTGTTAATGCAGGGATTCAGGAATTTTTTTAAGAGTTTTTTAAGCAATTATACTACAAACAAAATCTGACGCCCAGTCTGAAGCCACTCCAGGCCCATTAAATCTGTCCATGTATTGAGTGTCTTCAGCTCAGGTGACTTGAAGGAATACAGGCTCCTGCCCCATGCAAGCTCTAGGAATAAAAGTATCTGGACACATGCAAATTCCTCTGCGCCCCAGAAAAACAAATGGTTCTAAGTAGGCATGTAACCATTTCCATGAGCTGAAATCCCCAGGAGTAATTCGAAAAGGAACTTCCTGCTTACTCAACACAGCTGTGTAAATGGATATGCACACCTTTAATTCCAGCACTCTACTCAGGGGAGGCAGAGGCAGGCAGTTCTCTGTGAGTTCTAGGCCAGCATGGTATATGAAGAGAGACTCTATTTCAAAAACAAAACAAAAACAGAGTACAAGTGTTTGAAAGGACAAGGGCCTTTTTTTTTTTTTTTTTTTTTTTTTTTTTTTTTTTTTTTTTTTGCTAAGGGCAAACCCTCCTACTCTGTTGTAAAACATTTTAAATTATGTAGCACTACTCTGTCTTGGTTAGAGAAGCTTGGTCGAAGTATGCAACACTTAATATAAACATAGAGACTTGTAAGTGGTCAGAATTCTGAGAATTAAGTGGTTGCTGACTGCTCAGCAGTGTATGGCACACCTATTCTCATCCCTCCCATGGCTCAGGAAACACCACTGAAGAGGGCATGGGAAGCAGTGTAAGGATTCAGGGATTATTCTGGCCTTCTCTTGTCACCTGGCAGAATGCACTCAGGCAGTACTCTGGTAAGTCCAGGGTTCCATGACAACTAGTAGTCAGCATGCAGGTGCAAAGGACCCCTTTAGAAACAAAAGACTTCTGCCCATTTATACCCTTTTCCACTCCTCTCTTTCCCACTCTCTTCCCGCTGTTCCCCTGGGGCAGACAGGACTTTTCCTGTCTCCCTCTTCTCTTCTGTCCTCTCTATGTGTCTCTTTACCTCTTTTCTCTTTCCTCCCCCTTCCCTCCCTTCTAATAAAACTTCTCACTTAAGCTCTGTCAGCCTGGCATGTTTGTCCCTCTGCCTCGATCACCCTCACCTGCCATGCAATCCGCTAAGGTCCCCCAGGCAAGGTTCCCCTTACACTTCATCATAACAAGCAGTACTGGGAAACACTGTCTTCCAGAAATGACATGACTATTGCACTCAGGAACTCACAGATGCAGTGCCTACTTGCACATCCACAGTCTGTCATGAATGCAAGATAGGCAATAAGGCCTTACCATTCTCAGTGGAGCTCTAGGCAGTTAATAAATGCTGGAGGAGGGGTGTCATTGGTGTGGTCACAAGGAAGGCACCCTTGATTAAGTAAATAAACCCTCCCTATTCAAAAACATCCTAGTAAAATGTAGTAGACACAGACAGATACTTTAGAAAACAACAGGTCACTTCTTTAAAAAAAAATTAAACAGGGCACTGTCCACTCTTGAAGGAGACCAGGGTTCCATTCACAGCACCCACATGGCACCTCACAACTGTCTATAACTCTAGTTCAGGAGATCTGATGTCATCTTCTGGTCTCCAAGGCCACCAGGTACTCATGTGGTTCACAGACATACATGAAAGCAAAACACACATGAAAGTAATTATTTTTAAAATAAAAATTAGTCTCAACAAGCTATCAAGCTTGAGTTCAATTCTTGGAACCTATGTGAAGGCGGAAGAGAATGGAGTCTACGAGAGTTTCCTCTGACCTCAACATGTCAGCTCTGATACATCCACACAAATATATCATGTACACAGAACCACATGCACACACGCATGCACACAAATAATAAAAGTATCATATGGTCAACTGTTTTTATTTGTCCCAGTTATCTTCAGCTGGCAGCCTCTGAGGGAGTCTCAACTACGAGAATGTCCAGATCATATTGGTCTGTGGCCAGGTCTGTGAGGAATTATCTTGATTGCTGATTGATGAAGGAAAGTCACAGCCCACTGTGGACAGGTGATCTTGGATTGTGTTAACAGTGTGGCTGAGTGTGAGTCAAAGAACAAGCCAGCACAAAGCTTATTTCATGGTTTCTGCTTCAAGTTCCTGCCCTTCGTTCCCTCAGTGATAGACCATGACCTGGAAATATAAGCTGAAATAAAGCCCTGCATCCACAAGCTGCTCTGGTTATGGTGTTTGTACAGCAACAGAATGGTACTAGAACAACATTATGTTGGCTATAACACTATTCAGTAAAAATGCAGATATGTTCATTTCAAATGATTCTTAGATGAAGAGTATAGAAGGGCATTGCTCCCAACTGCAGGTTACCCAGCTGTTCTCCAAAAAGGCTGCTCATAGTGAAATATAAAAAAAAAAAAAAAAAAAAAAAGCATCCTGCTGAGGCTCATGTGCCTCTCAGCAAAAGAAGCACAAAGATTGTTCACATGGAGTCAGGAAAGAATCTTCACAGATTACTTGTGTGAAATGTTCACAAACAGAATTTAATTCCTCAAAATATACTGCTCAGAATTCAGAGGAAAATAAGAGACTGTTTGAAATATACCATAAAGAACAAAATGTTGACCACAATGTGGAAAGGGAAAGTTGCACGGGAATGCTTATAGGGTGGTGGAATTTTAAGAATTTGTTGGCAGAGTGCTCATCCTGATTCTGCATCTCCATGACACTGGATAGGAGGCTGTTGTGGGCAATGGATCTTTTTTGAGTATTGGAAGGATCCAGAAAATGTGTCAGCAACAGGGCAATGCCTTCCTTTGCTCCTTCCCACTTCTCCCCTCTTCTCCTCATTTTATGGGTTCCAGATACCTTTGCCCCGCCCCCACGCTCCACCTCCACCTCATCTAAAGGATCTTTGGAAACCACTCTCATTAAGAACAGTAGTGGAAAATGACTTTTCCCTGCTCCATGCAGCAACCTGAGCCATTCATTTTGGAGACAGCCACTCAGGGTTCTTTTTTAAAGTTTTTAAAATTACTTTTAACTATGGAGCATATGTGCTCACAGAAGCAGGGACAACTGGATCCCCATGAAGCTGAAGTTACAGGTAATTGTGAGCCACTTGATATGGTGCTGGGAATCAAACCCGAGTCCTCTGGAAGAACAGTATATGCTCTTAAGTACTGAGCCATCTCTCCAGGCCCATAAACCAGAATTCTTGACTTCACTACAGAAAAAAAAAAAAAGAAGCCTGTATCAAACAGGGTTGGAATTTATCAAAGCAATTTAAGCAAGAAGCTAAGACAAAGGAAGAAAAAGAAGAGCACACACCCACTAGTGATGTGGGGTCTTCAAGAGCCACCCTTAAGTTTCTTTAGATCAATGATAGATAGACGATGGACAGACAAGATTTTGAGAACTAGTGACTTTGAGGACTAATGACCTTGCATTTCAAAGAATCACTTAAGAAGTTAAATGAGCTAAGAGGGTAGTTCCCGAGCTGCACTGGATAGGCTTATAGCTAGAAAGTAAATCAAGGGCTGTAGAACTTCAGGTGTTTTTACTGTTAATAATGTATAGTCTTGTTTGGCTGATGCCCAGAAAATTCCAGGTTTATGGGAAAGATGTAAGGTCATACTTGTAAAAGGTCATGTACTCATCGGTTGTAAACAGTTCACTGCTATTTTGACATTCGTATCTGAAATACTGTTATACAGGACTGTTGTCTCAACAAAGGCAACCTTCACAGGAAATCTTAATTTTTCTGGAATTCTTGATACTCAGCTGGAGAGAGACACCAGATTATAAAAGGACTGTTATGTCCCCTCAACATAGAACTTGTTCACAATTAAGCCAGGTTTGCTGGCCTGCAAGCACCAAGAATTTATCTGTCTCCACCAGCATTCTTTTTTCCACCAGTATTCTTTAAAAGAACTATTACTTTTAATTATGTGTATATGTGTATGTGCAGGTGATTGCATTTTCTCACAGACACTAGCAGTGTTGGATCACCTGAAGATGGAGCTGGAGCTACAGGGAGTTGTGAACAGCCCCATATCAGTGCTGGGAACCAACTTCAGGTCCTCTGCAAGAGCGGCAAGTACTCTTGAGCCGTCTCTCCAGTCCCCTCTCTCATTACTTTTTAAGTGGTGGGGGGCAGGGGTTCGTGTGCTCGAGAGTGTGGGGGGGATGGGAATATGGGAATCCATATGGAAATTAGAAGACAATCTTAAGTGTCAGTTTTTACCTTCCAACTGAAGACAGTCTCTTTCATTGCTTTTCTATAAGATATTCCAGGCTAGCTGGGATTCTTCTGTCTGTGCCTTTTTAGGGACAGTGAAATTACAAACACTCACACTACGTGCCCAGCTTTGATGTAGGTTCTGGGGGTTTGAACTTGGGTCCTCACACTTTCAGGCCAAATACTCTACATTAAGCCATCTCCCTAGCCCTTCCCTCATCTTTCCATGGCCTATACTTCCACATTCAGATCTCCACCAACCCTCCTCCTAGCCTCACAATTTACATTCCCCCTCAGATCTCCTCAAAATCTCATCTCTCTGCTGCAAGTTCCTATACGAGGGGTGAGGACTTCACTTACCTATGGGTATATGGTCAAATATTTAAAATGTAGTGAGAGATTATGTTGGTTTAGCAAAGTGACAGTTGTAGGTTCTCCTCCAAAATCTATGATTTCACTAGCCCAGGGTAGTTGTCTAGGTTTCCAGTATTAGGCAGGATTTCCTTCGAAATGCACAGCTGTGGAGTCAAAGCCCAACTAATAGATCAACAACACCACTCCTTCACCCTAGGCTCAGGGATCATTGCCAAAGAGGGCAAAGAATAACTATCAGATCTAGAGAAATGGAGTTTACTATGAGACTGTGTCTCCTAGAAATGTCAGAAACTATACCCAGGAAGTCTTACCAACATGGCTGCCTAAATATGACCTGAACAAGGACAACACCAACAGACATAATAACATGGACAGGGAAAGCTCTGGGGCCTTAATGCCAGACAAATAACTACAGGCAACAACAGAATGCTGAGAGTAGAAGTTGTCTTTCCCAGGAAACAATACACCAATTGGTCATCCAGTGCCAAATGGTCAGCCCTAAACACACAGGTATACTAGTAACATTATACAGACTGAACAGGCTGCATTTATGCATTTAGGAATGCCCCAACAACTAAAGAAAAAAAAGACAAAAATTGAAAAGAAAGCAAGGTAGAAGTTAAATGGAAGAGTTTGGAAGTACAACAGGGGAAAACGATGTAATTACAATTTCAAGAAATAAAATAATTTTTCAAAGTCTTATCCCTTATACATCTTTCCCTCATTCTCTTCTCCCTCAGAACCACTTCTCTTAATTAACCTCAGACTGCTACAATGTCCTCTCCCTCAGACTCTCACCAAATCTCTTCTCTCAGATGCCTTTCCCCCAACTCTGGTTCCTCACTATTTCTCCCCAGTTATTCCTCAGACTTCTGCAGGCTATATCCCCTGCCTGAGACCATAACCTCCTTGCTAAATCCCTCATTTCTTCCCTTATACTATCTTTCCCTTTTATATCTAGAAGGCCTGTATTCCCCCCATTCCCACACCCCCATAGGCCTCTCAAAGATACTTTTGTCCTAGTCCACCTTCATATACTGGGGACCATCAGCATGGTCTCTTCCAGCCATTAGATGTTTTCCTGAGCCTAGTGTAGCCACAGTCTTATCAGTCCCATGATGACCAAACCACTGCTTCAGGGTGACAAGCTATGGTAAAACCACTCCACTTCTGTGGCAGGCCAGGCTTGTCAAAAGAGACCTACCTGCAAGGGGAAAGAAAAAAATACGAAGAGAGAGGATGATGGGCGACAAGGGACACAGGGAGAGATCTGCAGATACAAGACTCCCAGATAAAGAACCAGAGGATCCACGTTGTCCCTGGCCAAGTTTAGGATACAGTTCCCATTCCTGCTCCCCTGATTCCTACAGTCTTTCTTTTCCTCTACCTCCTGCCCTAGACTGACTGCCCAGAACTCCACAGCGGTGGCTTGTTCAGGTGAAATTCTGAAAATCTCCCTGTATCAAGGTGCACTGAAGAACACCCGAATCAGTCTTTTGAGTCATGTCCCCAAACAGCAATTTCAGTTGCCCTCCTGCCAAGCATCTGGGAGCAGATGCTGGAAGTAGGGAAACAGGAATCAAGACTCCAGGGCCAGTCTCGGGTTCTAATTGTAGTCAGCTGTTGGGCCTTTTGATCTGTGTCTCTCAGCATGTCTGTACCCCAGTCTACAAGTCCTCCACTAGGTCATCCAGATTCCTTAAATACCACCTTGAGTGCAGTGAGCAAGGTGCAGGGATCCCACCAGGCCAAACCCATTCACACACAGCCTCTGTGCACACCTACTGGCTCCTAGATTCATCACAAGAGGAAGCAGGAATGACAGAAGAGCAGCTAACGCCACGGTGCCTCCCAAGTGCCTGTCTCTGCTGTGGATCCCTCTCTTGACTTCTACAAAAAAACAGGACCCAGTGCCAACCCTGATGGTGCAGGTCTATAACCTCAGCTACTTTAGAAGTCACACACTTAGATTTAGAGGGTCAGATTAAAAAAAAAACACAAAGACTCGCGGATATACCAAACGCAGAAGCCCTGGGCAGAAGGGACAGCGAGGGTCCGGGAAAGCACTGGCACGGACGCCGGGCCAGACCACCTTCGAACGCTGCTCCCGGCCACCACAGCCCAGGCTGAAGTCCAGTGAGCTGCAGGATAGGAAGGCCGGGAGGGGCAAGGCGGGAAGGTGCAGGGGACGTGGGGGCCGCGGGGAGAGCGGCACACAGAGCCCAGGTCAGGACGCCAAGCTCACCATTTCCTGTTCTGGACCCCCGTGTCCTCAGTGCGGAGCTCCCCGCAGCAGCAGCGAGCCACTGGTGACAGGACCAGGAAGAGAATCCCAGGTTCCCAGGTACCTAGGCCGAGTGAAGCGCAGGGCAGATACCAAGAGGGGTCGGAGTGTTAGGGGGTGGGGGGTTGGGGTAGTGGTGGTAACACAACCTTAGTTCAGAACAAAACCCGCTCCCTTCTCTGTCAGGGAATCTGATTGGAAACTCTTATAACAGTGCTTTCCATTGGACAGGGCTTCAGGAGGTTTTTCCCAGAGGAGGACAGGGGCGGTGCGGGTGCAGTTGCTTACAAAAGCCAGAAGAGGTCGTAGGATTCCCTCTGTGCCATCTAGTTCTCCCTAACTGATATTTTAAGGCCTGGCCGGAATTAATTGGATATTAGGGTTAAACCTTCTACATAAAGTTATGTCAGCTAATGATTGATATGCAAATGCTGCTTTTTCGTAAGTGGAAATGATATCAACCTTCACAAAAAACAGACACAGAGGCTGAGCTATTTTGGTTTCATGTGTAAAACCTCCAAGATTTTTTTCTCTTTTCTGCTCGACATTTGTTTTTTTGTTGTTGTTGTTTGTTTGCTTGTTTTTTGGTTTTTCGAGACAGGGTTTCTCTGTGTAGCTTTGGAGCCTATCCTAGCACTCGCTCTGGAGACCAGGCTGGCCTCGAACTCACAGAGATCCGCCTGCCTCTGCCTCTCGAGTGCAGGGATTAAAGGCATGCGCCACCAACGCCCGACTCTGCTGGACATTTGTACTGCCATATTCAAATTAGAAGCAGGATTCTTTTTATTTTCTAATAGCTGGTGCTGTCAAATGTGAAATGCTTTGCTTTTTACAAAGCCTTAGAATTGTGGGAGAGACGCTTTACTTATGTTGATGGCTAGCTTTATATTTAACAATTTAACCACACCCTGTCTCAAAAAACAAAACCAAACAATTTAACCACAAATCAAAATTGGACATCTAAATGTTAAGGGTTGTTTTGTAATTGCCTGGTCTTGTACAACTTTAACAAAACTGTTGTTTGTGCAAGACGGTCTCAGAGTTATCTGCTGTTTCTGCTTCTGTTAACAGAAGCCTGTTTTGCTGGGGCTGACCAGAACACCTGCAGACAGAATACAACTTTAAAGTTTTTGCCTTTATGAACCCCTGACTAATGTGACTCTGGGCTACATTTGGGAATCCTGTGTCCTGGAGGAAGCCTTGGTGACAGTATCTGCATAAAAGCCCTTTCTTTGTTGAAATACATTCATGGTTCAGACTGGTAAATCTCTGAATGACCACAGAGCCCTAACAGACTCAGCAATTAATAGTGTGTATTGCTATAGCAGAGGATGGAATTGGGCTCTCAGCAGCTCACAACTGCCTGTGACTCCAACTCCAAGGGATCCAACACCATCTTCTGGCTTCTAGGTCACATGCTTATATTGATACAGGGGAAATGTGAATAAAATTTATACCATGAAGGATTTACTAATAAACTTACTTAGGAAATATTAAGTTACACAGAGTTGAATTCAGGTAAAGGAGTGCTGTCTCTAATACAATTGGAAGAAAAGTAGTATACTAAACAGGCTTGTTAGAAACTGTGAAAAAGAGAATTTTGTACAATTGAAGTTTAGGGTTGCTAAGAAAGGTTATATTATTGTTTGTCCCCTGAGACTGACCTCCAGTCTGGCTCCATATCTATAACAGAAGGAAGCAATCTTAACTTACAACCAGCTATGAGGTTCATACCCTCTCATCCCCATATCTAAGAACATAGTTCTAAAGGGAAGCTCAAGGGGACAGCACAAGGTCACAGCCACCATTAAGTCCTGTTCTGTCATTAAGTTCCATGAGCTCTTATCAGGAAAAGCATAATTCAGCTAGCCAGGCAAAATTTTTGGAAAGAAAAAACAATGGTGTACTTATAAGTAATTCTGGCGGTAACTTTGCTGTATGAATCTCTCATATGCCCAAGTGGCCAGACTTACACTCTCCTATCTCTGTTTAAATTGTTATGTGTTAACCTGGGAGCAAGACCTAAAAGATATGACAGCATTTGTAGAATTCCTAAGCCTAAAGTGTATGTAAGTTAACAAAGTCTTCTATTCCCGCCCAGCTCCTCTGTACTTTAGCCAGAGTCGAACTTCACCTGTCATTAAAGAGCTTTCCCCCCCCCCTTGTTTTTCTGAGTGTGTAGAGTGAATTCTCACTGGGCTGGGGTAGGGGCATATTTCTGCATCAATACCACACATAGACAATCCTGTATAGATAATTAAAATAAAAATATAAAAATGGCCCATTCCTGTATTTCTGGCCTAGAGAAGATTGGAAGCCAGCCTGGACTTTGACTATGTAGTGATCACTAAGGATTGGTTACATAGCATGACTTTATTTAAAGCACCAAAACAAACAAAAACCACAACAAAAAAGACCAAAACTCCAAATTCGAAAACTTGAAGTTGTGCTCTGATACACAACTATAATTAATTTCAGCTGACTATCTAAGAGTAAGGCGTGGGAGGGGTATCACTTGCACCCAAAATTGGGAGGCCAGCTTGATAACACAAAGAGACCTGGTATCAAAAGACAAACAGCTGGGCTTGATGGCATGCATCTTTAATCCCAGCACTCTGGAGGAAGAGGCAGGTGGTCTTTGTGTGTTTGAGGCCAGCCTGGTCTACATAATGCATTTTAGAACAGTAACAAACAAACAAACAAACAAACCATGAATCACTTGTATGGAATCCAAATGAACTACTGGTCACAGTTGCTATCACTGTTTTCTTTATTCTTTTCATTTTTTAAAGATTATATATGTGGATGTGGGTCAGCCTGGGAGTCTGCATGCATGTGCACGGTATGCATGCAGAAGCCTTGGGAGGACAAAAGAGGGAATCAGATTTCTTAATTAAATTCAGGTGTAGGTGCTGATTTGGGTGCTGGGATCCAAACTCCAATCCTCTGCAAGAGTGCAAGATTTCTTAACTGCCTAAGCCTCCCAGGCAGTTTGTTGGTAAGTAATTGCTAAATATGAACCTTGTGAGTTAGCCTGGTTAGTTTTAAACTTAGAATACAAAATACTTCATTATGAATCCTTGCTAGTTTTTCACTGGCTTTTCATGAAAAGACCCCGAGTTTTGTCTTTGTATTTAGAGTATTAACAGTGCTGTAGATAGCATGACAATGTCCAGTTAAAATGGATTTTAACAGAAAGCAGTATTGTACAGTGAAGGAGAACCCCTCCTACCCCCCAACACATGCCTACCCAGCCTGGGTACCCTCTCAGATCCCTATTAGGCACCAAACACACCTATTTTTTCATAAAGAGATCCTTATTAAGTGGGGAAGAAAAGTTAAAATGGCTGCTTTCTAACTCAACAGCAAATGACCTTACAGGTGTGATTTTTAAGAAGAGAAAAAGGGGAGGTCTGTGTTAGGATGCGATAGGATACAGTGGTATAGTTTGATTGGGCATGTCAGTTGGGTGCACTAAAGGGGGATTTTTTTATTTTATTTTATTAGTTCAAATTAGGAACAAGCTTGCTTCAGATGTCAGTCCCTAAAGGGGGATTTTGATTGCTGGACTTTAACACTTTGGTAGCTGGACCTTGGTAGTCAGCCTCAGGAGGAAGAAGTGGCCAAATATGGTAATAGGCCTCAGTGTCCAGCTTTAGGAATGTAATCTAATGGCTTTTAGCAAGGCAGAGGGAATGAGAGAAGGGCAAGGCCTGGCAGAGGCACATGCTTGCATGGGCTACTGTCCCTTATGCAGGATAGATTTGAAGAATTTATTATTTAATAAATGTGCTGCTTTACTGGAGGCACTGCTTGAGGAAACTGTGAAATACTCACATCCATATTGTCTTATTCTACAGTTTCTGGAGTGAAAGTCATTTCTTTGCAGTGATGTGTAAAGGAACCTATTTGCCACTGGGTAACAAACCATTATGTAACTGATTTTTTTCAATTTCCTTTTCTTTTAATTATCAGGTTTTCTTGTTTTTTTATTTTCTTTTAACATTTTATTTATTTATGTGGGTGGGGGTACCCATGTCGTGGTACACTTGTAGAGGTCTGAGGACAACTTTGAAAATTGTTCTTTTTTCTCCCATGTGAGTCCCAAGGATCATCTCATTTGAGTCTAGGTTCCTTTACCCATGAAATGATCTCCTTGGTCAAGTTTTCTGCTTTAAACTTTTTTTTAAACTTACATACATATGTTCTATATGTGTATGGCCAGAGAAGGAGCTTGAGTATCTTATTCTATGATACATATGCTTTATTCCCCTGGGATAAAATTTCTCCCTGAAGCTGGAGTAAGACTGACAGTCAGCCAGCCCCAGTGATTGCCCTGTCTCTCCCATAGCCCTCAGCTTTCTTATTTAATACTAGAGATTCAGGCTCAGGGTTTTATACTTAGGAATTCACCTTTCATCTTTGATCCATCTCTCCAGCTCCTATTTTACTTTTTTGGAACTCATTACACAGCCTTAAACTTGTAATAGTCTCCCTGCTTTACCTTTCAACTCTGTAATTATGTGCCACTCTACAAGGTGTTGATTCTGTTTTAATCCATATTTGGAGGGTCGCAATAAGATTATATATCCCATAGCTAACCAACACTATTCTAGTTTGCTTCTCTGATGCTGTGTTTAAACACTGACCTAAAGCAATTTGGGGAGGAAATGGTTTATTTGGCTTATAAGTTACAGTCCATCTTTGAAGGAAGCCAGGGCATGTTGGGGGCACCAAGGTCTTATGCCCACAGAGCAGTAGGGAGCCCGTAATGTTAAACCTACACATAGGGGCCTCTCCCCAATGGAGGAGATAAAATACCTGTTTTATCAACCAGAAGGCTGGGAGTGGATCTTGTTAGTGACCTGGTGACTTTTGTGCTTTTGGTGGAGGCAGACCTCACCACACACCTTTTGCTATAGCAGTAGTCCTTACCAAAATCCCTCAGAATGTTACAGACTCTCCCTTTCTAGCTTCCAGTTAATAGAACGCATCCTTAGGGGAGATGCCACATGTACTTTATGGTCTGCTGACCTCTGCTAGTGTGGTCAGCTAGATTCTGAGCCTTTTAGCTGTGGGACCTCCCTTCATGGTCACATGCACTTCGCAAAGGAGTCTAACTAGTCACATCATAAGCTTCATTGTACACCTAGAATTGAAA